TTTTAATTGTAGTGCATAAAAATTGATTATGTTAGACATAACACAATAATATATATTATAATATAATATATATTAATATTTACATCTTCTTAAAAAAAAATTTAATTAAAACAAAAAAAACGTGAATATAAATACATTTTTTATTAAGATCACGCATTAATTAAAAAGCAGTCATGGATAATAAAACTAAACGAACTCAAAGAAATTGAGTCACAAGAGCTATTATAATATGCAACTGCTTTGTAACCGAGATGCATAATTCATCGAGTTTATTTCCTATAGAAATTTTCATCTACATTCATCAACGTAATGTATTACAAATTTCATTACAGGAACTGCAAGAAATGCATCCCTTTAAATCGTTTTCAATAATTCAGTAAATATTGTTAATTGATTGAGAATACATCAAATGGGAGAAATCAATGAGACCCTGTTCGTAAAAAGACATACAAAAACTGCATAGAATGCAATTTTCATAATTTTTTCAATTCACAAAAGTTTTATTCTTATAAAGACCAACACAAAGTAAACGTTAAAAACTACAGGATTAAAATAGAATATAAAATATATTATTAAATTATATGTGTATATTTTTTAACTGTAATTTCTAATTATATATTTTCAATATATTGAACTAAACTTTAAATAAATGAATATTTTAGAAAGATTTAACACAAAGCCAATGTAGATTATTACACTATTGTCCTATTTATGATTTGCTACATTTGATTAAGTTTATAATAAACTAGGAAAAAATAATTACTGTTTCACCATTTGTAGAAACATTAGTTAAGACCAATTTTACAATGTGAAAATTGTAATTACAATGTACATAAAATATTAACGAAAATTTAATTGTTAAAAATTACAAACGTTGCTTTGTTATAATTAAAAATATCTAGTATCGAAACCAAAATAAAAAACAAAATATCTAATTGATGTGATAATCAAAATGCATATTTTTTCATCTTATGAATTTGTGGTAACAATATTAATTATAAATAATAAAATCTCATGAACCAAGGAAGTTTGACAAAATTTTTAATTTAATACTGTACAATTTCGTTATGTTCTCTAAAACAGCAATGAAAATTATGCATAAATTCTATAGTATTCTATTTGTTTTTAAATAGTATGACTAATATTATCTAATTTTAAAACAAAGTACGTATTTTTATAAGTTGAAATTTCACATTTTGATATTATTGTATTATAAATTAATTTATTATTTATAAATAATATTTTATATTTAGTCATTGTTTATTAATCTTAAAATCATTTAACTAAACTCCTATAAGATATAGCGACAAAATTTAAGCAATGCAAATATTAGAGTCAATATTTACCTATTATTAATTATAATTGAGAAAAATCTTAAAAAATAAATATATAACTGCTTTCTAAAAAAACACAAAGATATTAATAATAATAAATTAATTATAAATGAATATTAAGTATAATTCTTACTTTTGATAAATCTCTACCCTTAAATAATTATTCATAGGGATAAAACAACAAGTGAGAAATTTTCTTAAACAACTAGTTTTTCAACAAGCCTAATAGAAATATAAAATAAAATAAATTACAATCGTATGTAGAAGCAATAAATGATTACTAACGACTAAGTCATAAACTAGTACGTAAACCAAGATATCAATTATAATAATGTTGCAAAAGAGAATAAAAACTTTAAAAAAGAAAAAAAGAGCGGTATAATAAAAATCATTTTTATACAAGAATATAACAAAATAGTCAAAGTTATGCAGACAAAATAAACTAATCAATAATTAAACTTGATAATTACTTGATTCTCTAAAAGCTTTTCATATTTTCACTTATTTTTTTATTTTGTAACGGTAAGGAAGGAAAAAAAAGGATATACATTTATAGTTAAAGTACAATAGAGAGAAAAATGCAGATAGGCAAAAAAGCTATACCTGAAAAGGGACTCGGAATAGCTCACTAACCTACTCAACTAATTAATGACAGAATAATATTAAAGAAAAGTTGGGAAAGTGATTTACAGTTTGCTGCAATCAACTATTTTCAATAATAATTAATATCTTAATGCCAGTATAATTTTCTTCTAGAATGTATGGATACATAAGCAGACTTTCACAAGAAGACCAATGGCTGATAATAATTGAGGCCAGGCTGCCTATTTTTAGCTTTTACAGTACTATTCAATTTTCGACTTTTATAATCTAACAAGAACATAATCAAAATAAGCTACTCATCTAGATATGCACAACTAAAAGTACAAAATCAGTGCCTCTTTAGATTATCACCGCTCCTGTCGAAACAAAAAGAGAGTTAACAAAATTATAATTAAATGTATCGACTGATAACAATTCATAATTGTTTATCTATTAATTTGATAAATTTACTCATTTTAATGCTTTTTTATAAGATACATCGCAATTTAGTTTACTATGTAATTCAATTTTATTATAATCCAACTCACTTATTTTTTTCTAGGTGTCTTTGATTTGTCTTTTATGTTCTACTAAATGTAAAATGTGAAACTACACAGATATTGATAACTTGTTACATTAATTTTTCTTTTATTATCCAAAAATTATTCTGATAAGCGTAGATCTTACACTAAATTTAATATAAAAGCTTAAACTGAGAATTTGTATCTATATTAAATTATTGATAAATGGATTTTTACTAATTATTGATCCATAAATTATAGTAAATTACCATGATAATCATCAATCTTTTACTAATTATTGATCCATAAACTATAGTAAATTACCATGATAATCATCAATCTTTGAACCGTGTAAACGTGTGTAAACGAGAAGTACCTATAAAGCTGCAATTTCATTTACATTACCAATTTTTACATTTCTTGATCTTTTGTCTTATTTGTAAACAAGAAAACAATAACTTTTGTATTTAGTATATTAGCTGATATTATGCCATATTAAATGTAACTACAAAGGAAGAAAAGTACACGTAGATCGTGCTTTTTAATCATTAAACGTTATATATTAAATCAATTAAAAACATTAACATATATTTTTATTGAAAGTAAGACTAATTATACATCTTCCCCATCCGAATATTGAATAGTTTAGGAAACAATTATTATATAAAACAATATTAAAGACTTCTGAATGTATAATCTATAGTGTAAGAAAGCGCCTTTTCTATTTTTCTGCTTCTATAAGATATTTAAAATATAAGAACAAACTTTAAAACAGTTACATTTTCAATATGTATTCTAGCTTAATGAACACAAAAGTAATATCAGGTAAATATCTTTCACTCACATTCCGCATCTCGAAATATGTGCGTACACTTCTATCTTCTTTAATATCAGTAAGAGCTCAATAGTCACACTTACGAAACGAATGTATGAACTGGGTTTATTTCAATTATTGTTTACATTAAAATCTTGATATGTATCCATGTATTATATACCTTGCTTTCTTAATAAACACGCAAAATAGGGATAATGTGCGCTATATAATTTTAATAACTTTTTGATGATGTAAGGATTTTTGTCGTTACTATGTACCTTCTAAATACAAAAGTCATTTACTTTCGTATCGTGTACTGATTTGTCTGCCATACTACACAGTGCGGTAGTACGTACACATTGTTTTCCATTTTCAATTTAACTACAATATACTAGCATATTATTCTAACTTTGGTAATGTTTACCACTATTTACTTATGTTTAATATTTCAGTGACTCATAAATATAAATTATACATTTTATCCAAATTTTTGCTTTTTTCAATCGACCCATAAATAACTATAAATTAATAATTTTGTTTTTTATAGGCTCTACCTAATTTTTAATTTTTTTACTTGAAAGTACGTGATGAAATACTTTATGTACACAAGCTTGATCTGCTATTGATGAGAAATTTAACAAAATGTTTGAAAAATAAACATTTAGTAATTAAAATTCAATGTTATAAATTTCAATGTAAAAAGGTTTAATAATTATGACAAACTTTAAGATAAACATTAAATAAGATAAAATTTAACTAAGCGGAAAAAAACTCAAAATATATAACAATATTGTGTGAATAATAATTCAGCCAGAGTACTGAACAACTACACAGTGATAAAAACGAATACTAAGAAAGGAAGAGCGACATCTACCTTTCTTTATGAAAATGTAATACTTGCTTTGACGTTTCAAGCTACTAAATTTACACGAATTTATCCAAATCTGCAATACTTATCAATATTTTGTCTTTGCAAGTTCTAAATGTTATGTTTAAATAAGATAATGAAATACTTATGATTGTACTGAATCATTTAAAGCAAATAATAGATTTTTATAGAAACAAAAACAGTGTTATCCCAAACAGACTGGGAAGAAAATTCAATTTATGTTCTGTTTTTGTAGAGTAATTGAGAGAAGTGTAATTGAGTAAATACTATTTAACGCACTTAATAATATATTAATTGACCTTATATTTATTTTTTTTTTAATCAAATGCTATAAATACAAATAAATATTTGTTTAGAAAATTGAATACTAATTTGTACCAAATAAAAAAAGTTGAAGAAAAAATCTGCCATTTAAAGATCTTCATTGTGAAAATGTAGAAACTGTAGGTTCTATAAAAATTTGCACTCATATTTATTATCAAAAGACAACATAATCCAATAGTAATTTATTAAAAAAATGATGTAAATTTGAATTTGATTGAAACCATATTCTCATTTACAAATTTACATGGTCAAGTCCATTAATTAATTTTTCTAGAAACGGGCTAAATGCCGGTGCAATTACCTGCACAAATCAAAATAAAGTGTGGGTGATAGCCAAGGAATTAAAATAAGAAATATACAACACTATGAAAAAATGAAGGAATTCAAATCTTCAGTATATTCGGAGAATAGTTACGGTTTTAATCAAATAAGTTAAAGAAGCATATTGTTTTTATTTTTACATGCATGACGTTTCAAATTGTTGGGCCATTTATTTGTAAGTAATGGTAATAATATTAAATTTAGTGAGCACTCACCGTTGGCCTTGAAAGTCGTTGCCGTTTCAAAACTGGGTGCCCTGATCGGGTGCTTGTCCTTAGCTCGTTCAACGTAACCTACAGCAAGACTCACCGCCGGTAGGGACTCGCCTCGTGTAAGCGGTGGCCTACCTGCATGCTGCTGCTGCTGTTCCTCTAACGGAAGCCGCTTCTCTGAGTGTTCATCGTCTTCCAAAGCAGAGATGCCACGTTTAAGTTGACCAATGCCGCGCCCGTGACCCAGGCTTACGTGATGCGCAACCGCTGTAAGGTGGGCGTTCGAAATACGTTGTACACCTCCTGTTCTGAGCCCGTTTCCTAGTTCATGTGCCTCATCATGCTGCTGCTGCTGGCGGCCAGTAAGTTGTTGCTGTTGTGTTTGTTGTTGCTGCTGTTGTCTTGAACTTGGGTTAAACTCGTTGATGGAATTACGATGATGAAGCTGAGGATATCCTGTAGTGGCAGAGGATATGCCATGATGTCGCGAGTGACTCTGAGCAACGGCAGCAGCAGCCGCTGCGACGCTTTGCATCGGCAAGACATCGAGTCCCGCAGCACCATTATGCTCTGCATGAGAGCTCGCACGATAAGCTTTCGTCACAGATGGTCGTGCATCCTGAAAGCCGTGAGCCTTTTTTAACTGCTTTGCAGATTCTAAGACGAGGTCGATACGGTCGGCACCTTCGTAGTTGACGCAACCCCGGCAGACCGGTTCCGAGAAATCCATTATCATGGCCCAGGGCATGCGCGGAAGGTCGCAGAGATAGCACTGCGTGCGCTTTCCCATCATTTTGAAGCCGTTGTTATAACTTCTGTGCTATCGTTATTGGAGTTGCTAATTGTCGGAGATGGTGGTCCTGTTATCAACAGCAACGCTTTAATTACCTCGCATCAAATCACACAATTCAACGAAAAAGAAAAAATATCTAAAGGGAAACTTAACTCGTTTTAATAACCAAAAATCATCCACCAAAAACTATCAGAACGCGGATATTGATCGTTATGCCTCGTTAGATTATATTCAACTACGTCGCGTGTCACATTATTATTACATTTCAAAAAGCACACCACTAATCGACGATAACAAAATCATCACTCTTTGTAGTAAATGAGCTTCGACTGTCGATTTAACGAATAACTAAAGTTCCGCGCACTGTGCGCGTACTATAGTGTACGCAATACAAATAGTTAGAGGCGTGGAAAGAGCGGTGAGCGACAGAGGAAGAGAAAAAAGAATAAAAGATAAAGATAGGCGGAGAACACGCTTCACGTCTCACACCCTAATCTCCACACGAGCATAAGCTATGAACGACTGAACTGCGATGGTCAGAACGATGAGCACTGAATAGCAGCAGCCAAGCAAGCTGCGCAGTAGAACAAGCGGGGCAGATGCGCAAATACGCGTTCAGTATAAAAGAGTATATATGAGGGGAAGGGAGAACGCGATTCGAATGATATGGCAACGCTGCAAATCATGAGCGTCTTTCCATTTCTTTTCCACTGTTCTCTTCTGAATTCGTTGATCCGATTCCACTATTTTTTTATATTACTCTTTAATTCCAAATTAGCTCTTATGGGCACTTAACTCAAATTCTTTTAATTACTCACATAAACTTTCCATTCCAACATTTTGTTATCATGGATTTATTTTAATGATGTACATTATCTTTATTTCATATTAATTTTTTTGGAGAAATAATATTTGCAAATTGCTTTTAATTGCAAAAAACACTTGTGTACTCCCAACGATTCTTTGAAGTCTCAGAATTTAAAAATATAATACGCCAGTTGTAATTTTATTAATGGAATTATTAGTGCTCTCTATGCAATTTATGTGCCACTTGGGAAAATGTATGATATAGTCCATATTACGTAAAAACGTTTCACCATAAAAAAGACAATGAATATTGTAACATAACCTTGCAAAATCTTATTATACCATAAATTCTTATTTTAAATGAGATCTGAAAATAATATAAAACTGTCTCACGCTCAATTGAATTCAAAAGGTCGGTCTACACATAGCTATAATTTTCTTTGTGAATGCTTACAGAAATCAAGGATATAAAACTGGTGCATTTTTAATGGAAAAGTGCTTGAATGAAAACGAATTTACAAAAAGTTGTTTTAACGGTAATAACAGCAGAGCAACAGTAATGAGATAAAATGTGATGGTAGAAACATATTCTTGGTGACGTATGCAGAGAATGCAGAGAATGTACATTAGAACACGGTGAGTCTGTATATAAGACGAATTGATTGGTCAACTTTCGTAGATTGCCTTTCTCTCCCTGGATCAACCAGCCAGCCAACCATGCCCATGCACTCATACATACCTAATGCGTATACTTGGCACGCAGCACCATACAGTATTCAGGGAAAAAGTATGGCGAATTGTATAACACAATATATGTATATATATATATATATATATATATATATATATATCTTTCGCAAAAATTGACCAATCGGTAACTGTAGCGTCATGCACGCAAAAGCGGTTTGCTACATCACAAAATTTCAACTACGCATGCGCTCAACAACCCATTCGTATATTTATTAAATGTTTTTTTTTATTTGTTGAGCTAATCGAGGCCGGCACTTGACTTCTCAGAAAACGAGATGAATAAGACACCATTTTGAGATTGCTGAGTTTTCTGCTCTATTAGTTTCATAAAAATCGTTTAAATATTTTATAAAATATATTTTAATAATTTTATACTATACAGACACATGATTTAACTAAAATCCATATCTTGTCTGGACATTTTTTCATGTTTAAAAAACTGTATAGTTTTACAATGACTTGGTATACTTCTTTCGATATACAGATTTTGCTTATAAATATATTCTCTACCGTAACCAACAAATTCCTCGTAACGTATTTAAATATTATTTAATTTTTTACAAATTAAAATTTTTTATGCATGTAATATTATAATTATAAATTCAGTTACTTTTTTTGTTTTTATTTAATTAAAAAACGAGAAATATTCATGTATAATATTGATTTAAAAAATACAAACAGTAATTATAATTAGTTTATTTTATTTAAACATAAAAATGGAAAAATAATTGAATTAAAATGTGTTTCGATAATTATGTTTAATTTATTTAATGTATATATATATATATATATATATATATATATATATATATATATAAATTGAAAGATATAATAATAAAAAGGTTAAAAGTGCAACAAATACAATATCAAGTTAAATATATAATATATATAATCTTTAAAAAAGTATATCCTTTGCCATGTAGTTACTGAAAATTATAAATTGTTCGAAATTTTATAAATTTTACAAGTAATTTTGAAATTTAGACGATATATACAAGGTATATAGAATATATAAGATAAATACTTGTTAAAAAGTATGTATTTTAAATATTAATTACAAAAAACAAAACAATAATATGGATTATTTTACAAATCTTCAACGATACGAATCCACAAAACATATTGTTGTACAAATACAAAAGCCGTGGCCAATATTGAATTCAATAATTCATGTAAAGAAGAATTTATTAGTAAAATAATGGAAAAATCCAATGAAGGCCACATAACTTTAGTAAATTCGAAAGGGCAGTTAAAAAGCCGAAGCTTGCTTGATGTTATTGACGAATGAAATCGTAGTAAAAAGTGCAGTCAAAGGCAACTTTCTAAACTGATGCAAGATATATATTTCACTAATTAAAATTTCGGGTGTTTAGAACATGATGTAATAGGCGAGATAAAGGTGAGCTGCAAGACTCGACAGTGGTTGATATCCAACCTGCTTTACTAAAAATACGCAGCCACGTGATTCCATAAATAACGACCATGAATAGTTATAATGGTGATTATTGTGTCGTTACAATGGAAGTCATTCAAAATTTACTAACTGCCTGCCAAAATTGAGAGAAAGTGAAAACAGAATAAATAGATAACATGTAAAGCAGAGTTTCGAATTCCCGCTTTCAATAAACGCAAATAAAATATAATCGAAACTGCTACTATATTTTCCTTTTCTGTTGTACTCTTTTTTCTTATTACTTCTATATTTTCAAACACTTCGTTTATTTTTTTAGTATACAACAGAAAATTATTCAAAGGCTTTTTATAAGGTTTCTACCAAACCATCTATAAAATCTATTATATGCTAAAGTTTCATTATTTAATGAAAATTCAATAATCATTTTAATAACTTCCCATCAACCATAAGAATGAGCATTTTTTCATTTACTGATACTATACATAGTTACGATGCATAATGCAAATTCATTTTTTATATTTTTCATTTAAACTTTCTACTATGCTTTCATAGAAATAAAAATAGAACAAAATACGAAAGTAATAATTATCATAAAAAATAAATAAAAAATAGTTTCAAAATAGTTTAGAAACTCTACTAGAATCATGAAAAAACTTGCTTTCATTTCTTTAAAATTTACTCAAATAATTATTTTAAAATATATATGACTATAGTAAATGAAATTAGGAATATAATACTAAAATTTATTTGAAAATAATACTTTTCATACTAAAAAAATTTATATTTTAGGCTTAATATATATATATATATATATATATATATATATATATATATATATACATACATATACACACAAATAAAGAATTTGTTTATTGTAACAATGCATCATAAATTCAATTTTGAAAAATACGATCACTAATTAAAAACTTCAATAAGTTTGTCATCAATAATACAAAATATATATCAAACTAAATATATTAAAAATTATAAATGTTTAAATAAAATTAATACTTTGATTTCAATTTATATATATATATATATATATTAAACACTTACTTTCTTTTGCTTCTACTGTAAAATTAATGTTGACTAAAGCATATATGCATGCACTGAAACACTTACATTTATTACATCTATTATTTACTGTTTACGCTTTCAAAAAGCATTGAAATTTATACTTACCATTAAAGCAACTTTCAATCCTCTCCATGTCAATTTTGTGTATAATACGTATTTATAAAAATCTTGTTTCTTTAAAATATTTATTAATATTTCTATGTAATAAAAGATATATTGTTAATAAATATTATAAGGATATATATTATTCAACATTATCTCGGAAATTAATATTGTTACATGAATTGTTAAATGAAAGAAACCAAAATAAAACCAATATATCTTTTACTCATTACGTTTATTTATATTATTTTGGACACCAATGATAATATTGCGTCTTTCACTCAACCAATTAAAGCTTAAGTTAAAATAAATAATAGCGTTATTGTTTAATTCCAATTTTTTCTAAATTGTAAGTTTTATTGTTAATGTTTTTCTAATTCAATTCTTGATTTATTATATTCAACTATTATTATTATAACTATTACTATGTATTAGCAAAAAATAAAATCACAATTATCTTTTTATAATAATTAATGGAAGCATTGATTATTAACCAAATAAGAAAGAGACAAGTATCGAGATAGAAAAAAGGTAGTTATAGTTAAAAATGATATTGTCTTCTTCTAATTACGATTTACATTTATATTTGAAATCATGATTTAAATGAAACTATTAAAAACTAGGTTATTCAATAATTTAAAATTTAAATTAATGAAAGTAACCATAAAAAATCTAAAATATATTTCCATTATTTTACTGTCTATTCATTTTTATTCATTTGTACTAGATTTTAATGTTTGATATAATTGTTAAATTAATTAATGTAAATACTGTTCATAAACGTAAAATTTAAATGTTAAATATTTTATACAGTAATGTATATTATTGAATTATATTAATATTTTCTTTTAAATGACTATATTAACTTCAAGAATTTTGAAGTAAAAGATAATAACGAATTAGCAACTATTAAAATTTATCTGACTGAATAAATAATGCAAATCATTATCTAATTCGATTTAATTCTACAAATTTAATTCATAATTTTTTTCTCTTATAATATATGAATGTTATTTAAATGATAGATTCACTTATAATGAACTTTTGATCTTTTCATAAATAAAATTTTCTTTGTAAATTTTGAATATTCATACACATACTACTTATCCATTATTAACTTTTACACTACTGCTATTTGATTGTATACTTTTTTGTATACTTTTAAATTATACAAAATGATTTATTTTAAATTTAATAAATTTACTATATTAAACAAATTAAGTATAATATTTGTAGAGTATTATATCAACCTTCTAAAAATATATCGTGAATATTGAAATCAAAATTAGTTATTAACTGCAAGTAAATAGTACTATTAAGAAGTGTATAGTTATTCAAACAAATTATTTAAAAAATAATTTTTTTAGGTAAATACGAAGTATAATAAATCTGTGTGTATATTAATAATACACATCTAACCAATGTCGAAGTTTCAAGACCTTATTTTTTATTACGTGAAGTATTTCTATTTTATTTTTTTTCTGTTTCTATTTTATTACGTGAAGTCATTTTTATTTTTTACAATTCTATTTTATCTGGAATTACATCTGATATTTATAAAAATAGAAACAGAAATATGTATATCAATAAGATTGTAAAATAATAACTGTCCAATACCGATTGTAAATTCGAAAAAATTCTGCATCATTAGACTTTGTATCAAATATAATCTA